AACAAGAATGGGATTTTTCTCTCTCTTCTTCTTTCCATGGTTCCTCTTCTCTCTGTCTTGACCAAACCCGTAATTCTAACTTAAGTGGGCCAAGGACCATAATACCCCCAACTTTTTAGTTTCTTTTCTTAATTCCACTTATATTACTAAACCAAGTGTTTAGTATAATTATCTTCCAAATATTTTTCACTAAAATATTTAGTATAAATATATTCGAAAATAATTACATTGGGTATTACATTTATAGTAAAAAATATGGTGAAAAATAGACTTATATAGTTCGAGCAAAGAGAAGATGTATAAATTATATGAAAAAGGAGAGTAAATCAGATGACGATGAGTCAAACAACTAGAGACGAAAATCTAAAAAAAGCAATAAAAAGAAATTATTAAAAAAGATCTTGAGATTAACGATTTGAATAAAAATATAGTTTTAGATAAAATATTATGACAAATTAATTTATGTAGCCGAAATCACTTAATAAGATAAGGTTTAATTAGTTGTTGTTCTTGTAATCATTTTAAAAAGAAAATGTAATTCATCTAAATTATTTTTTTGTACGCTTTTAAAAAATATTTAAAAAATAATACAAATAAATTTGATAACTTTATAATTCAATATTTCATAAATAAAAATTATAATTTAACAAACATATTATTTTAAAATATAATGATGTGAAATTATTATTGAGATATAGATAGTAAAAAAATATAGAATTGTTGAGCTGGAGTGATCGATTAATTTATTAGATACTTTCACTTTAAAAAAAAAGATATACATGTAGATATCATTGTTTAAATGTTTATTATATATTACTAATGTGGATGTAATGCCTTCTTGATGGTGAAACATACACTTGGTGCAACATTCATTTTTGAAAGGAAATGTTGCATGGATTATGCAAGTATCAATTGGTGAAGTTAATGAATTGATTGGAAAAGGTAGGTATTAGTCTATTGCGTGAAAAACTAGTATTTAAAAAATGTTCATTTTAAATATAATGCACGATATCTTTTTGCAGTTGTCATAAGTGGAATGAATGAGACAATCTAAAAAATATACATAATGTAAGCGTGCTTGGACACCGGTGCTGCTATTATTATTAATACTAGTAACAAACCCGTGCTATCGCACGGGTCTCGTCTGGATTCACATTACATTTATAGATTATTAAATTATTAAGTATGTTATCATGTTTTCAGTTGAGTATATGTCTCATGTAAATCATGTTGGCATTTAACTCCATATTTATAGCAAGCGTCGGTCCTATCAACAAATCACGTCTGCATGAACAAATAGGAAAAATTATATACTTCTTGAAATACATGGAAAATGTACATACTATATATTTTAATTCAAAATAGATTTTTAATTTGAATCGTAAAGTATAAGATATAAAGTTTACCAACTATCAAAGTGCTTGAAAGACTTCCTTGTACACAACATTAGTAGTAGTAGAACACGGTACATTCTCCTTGTCATGAATTATGATTTTTAGCCCACTTTTGCTCTTAACTCTTGAAATTGCAACATATAATTGACCATGACTAAACGGAAGGATTGGATTCCATATAAGGTGGCTGCGGATCTGTGCGTAAAGCAGAAGGAATTAGTACATTACCATCGAGAACTTACAATATACATTATGAATACCTTCTTAACTCAAACAAATGCGGTGAGCCTGGCGGCGTCGCCGCGGATCTGCACGCAAAGCGCAAGGATTGGAGTTCGTGTAAGATGGTTGCGGATCTGTGCGTAAAGCAGAATGAATTAGTACAGTGCCATCGAGAACTTACGATATACATTGTGAATATCTTCTTAACTCAAACAAATGCGGTGAGCATGGCAGCGTCGCCGCGGATCTGCAGGCAAAGCGGAAGGATTGAAGTCCATATAAGGTGGCTGCGGATCTGTGTGTAAAGCAGAAGGAATTAGTATAGTACCATCGAGAACCTACGATATACATTGCGAATACCTTCTTAACTCAAACAATTGCAATGAGCGTGGAGGCGTCGCCGCGGATCTGCACGCAAAGCGGAGGATTGGAGTACGTGTAAGATGGCGGCGGGTCTGTGCACAACTTAGATGGAATAAGAGCAGTGGTTTTGTTTTCATATGTCCTTAGGCGTTTTTGTAATTTTGTTTTAAGGAGAGCGGGCTCGTTCAATGGTTTTGATTTTAGATATATAACTATTAAAAAATCCGTGGTATCATATGGGTCTTGTCTGAATTACATATAATATAGAACTAACTTTGAATTGTAATAGATCATTCTTATATATTATTCAAATTTAAAATATTAAAATGATTTAACCAAAGTTCAATCAATTAGAGAAAAAAATTAGTGTATCAAATTAATTTGCTTTCCATCGATAACATTAATGATAACAATATCGTATTTGAACTTTAGATATGAAGCAACCTGCTTTTCATTGATGTTTTCAACTCATTAGTCTGCATGATAATTTGTGCAAAAATCAGACACCAAATATGCAAATAATTTATAAACAAAAACATTTGTATTGTCGTGTACTTACCCATTAACAAAGCAATTGAAAAACTTCATTGTATACAACATTTGTAGTGATAGAAGATGATACATTCTCATTATCATTTATTAAAATTTTAAGACAACTTTTGCTTGTAACTCTTGAAATGGCTACACACAATTGTCCATTACTAACAATTGTCCATTACTAAAAACAGGAGTAGACAAATACAATCCAACGATATCAAGTGATTGGCCTTGAGATTTATTAATTGTCATTGCGTTAGAGACAATAATTGAGAATTTTCTCCTAATCAACTTAAATGGTCACAGTGACTCAAAATGTGACATAGACATTCGAGGGATGTAAAAGATGTTATCTATGTTCTTTACAGGCATGACTAATAAATATAGACTAATAATATGCATTTGTTTTTTAAGTATTAATATGTATTTATAATAAATCATACCGACTATTCACTAACTTCAATTATATAAGATTTAAAAGATGAATATTAAAATTAACAATCTATAATCAGTATCTCATAGATGCGTTCTCATCTACCCGTGAATTAAGATGATTTAACAAACTCAGTTGAATCCAAATGAATTAGTTCTAAAAATTTATTAAATCTATTTTAGATATCAACCCATTTTTTCAAACCTAAAATATATGACAACTCCCGTCAAATTTATACTTTTATATTATATGTGTTCACATCTACGTGAGTTAACGAACTTCAGTTGAATCCAAATAAATTAATTTTAAAAATTTATTAAACATATTTTATATATTAATCCATTTTTTCAAATTAAAAATGTATGACATCTCCCGTCAAATTTCAGTTTTAAAACTTTTATATTATATCATATTTACATATTTTTTTACAACCTATAATGTATAACAGTTTCCCGTTAAATTACAATTATTTTTAAAAAGAACATAAAAAATAAATAAAATTTATAGATAAAACTATTGTATATTATTTTCTATATTTATTTAATGAATGAAATTTATTTTAGATGAATTTATTTTCTAATTTGTATTTAAAAATATAACTTAATTGTCATTTAAAACAGTACATTCAATTCTTTAACTTCAATTATCTGGTATGTCATAGATACATTTATTCTACCCGTGAATTTATTTCATGTACTCAGTTGGTTAATATTAATATAATTACAATATATAATCATTTATCAAATTTGAATTTCTCATTTATAAAAATAATTTTAAATTATTCTCGTTTATAAAAATGAACGCGAGTGTCTATTTATAAAAATATATGAAACTTATACTCTTTTATAAATATAATTGTATCAATACTTGATTTTTTCCGGTTTAAAAAAATATTTATAATTTATTCATGTTTATAAAAATTATTATAATTTATTTTTGGTTTGTAAAATTAATTATATTAATATGTAGACTTTTTCTCGTTTATAAGTGTCTTTAACCCGTGTGACAATTTATAAAAACATTTTAACTTATTCATGTTAAAAACAATTACATCAATATTTAAATTTTGTTCGTTTATAAAAATATTTGTAAGTTATTTAAGTTTATAAAAATAATTATAAAAATAAATATTTACCATATCATCTTAAATTTATTTATTCAACTGTGATAAATATGTGTCTCTTAGTTAATTACATTTATAAATAAATATCGTGTATTAGTGATATATATTAAATTTATTATCTTAATGTCTAACTAATTAAAATGAATTTATTATTGTCAATCAAAAATTATAATATTAAATAATAATATAACATTATTATTATATACGGGAAAAAGAATAAATTAAATCTAAGAATATCGGAAAATTTATTATAATATTAAATAATAATTTAACATTTATTATTACAATGAATCATATATAACATTTTAAAATTATGTATTTATTTCTTATGTTTTATTATATTCGATTTGTAATAAATATTTTTCAGTTTATAATATTAATGATATTATATAAAGTTAATTTCATGAAATAAATTTATTTAATAAAGTGTTATATAAATATTTAATACATTATATTATACCATTAATTTATATAAAATAATATTAACTTATTCCTGTTTATAAAACTAGTATTTAAAAAATGTTCATTTTAAATATAATGCACGATATCTTTTTGCAGTTGTCATAAGTGGAATGAATGAGACAATCTAAAAAATATACATAATGTAAGCGTGCTTGGACACCGGTGCTGCTATTATTATTAATATTAATATTAACATTAACAATAACAATGTGCACATGATGTTGTAATGTGTTTGAAAGTTTATGCATCCATATCAAAATTAATTGCATAAAATTATCCTCCACTTAACTCAACTTTGTTTTAGATCTAATTTTCATTCCAATTTTTCAAAATTAATTTAAAGATGTGACAAATATAACACATTTCGTTATCAGGTAAAGATAGACTTGTTAGCTTATAAAAAGGACTTGTGATTAAACAACATATATGCAAGTGCTTCTAGAATTAATTAAACAACAATTATTGCTCACTCAACAATTAACAGATTATTTTTAGTTAACCCTTCACCGGTTACAGGTAACTCTGTTGATAGGTGCCATTCACCATCTACTAAGAATTTGACTTCATACCTGCATAACAATAATTTTTGGTTTTTGTTATAGTTAAAACAAAACTAGGTTATATTAACCATTAACCTCAATTTGAAAGCTTGAGTAAGTTGATAAACTTGTACCTTCCAGGCCTGAGCATCAATGTTGTTGAGAACCTTGTGAAAGAACCTGTGTACTCTGGTGAAAGGTGCTCTCCTTGGCTCCAACCATCAAAGCTGCCCATAATTTGCACACTCTGATGGAAACAAAAGTTCAAAACAAATTATCAATATGCTGAAATATTTCTAGCTTATTCCTATAAGTTCTTCAGGGTAGCTTATGATAACAACTTAAAGATTATACCAAAACAGTTTGATTATATTTTATTTTTTGTTATTGAAATAACTTATACACCAGCAGTTATATGATACACGTTTATACTAAGAAGAGCTTAATTAAGCTGCTTACCCGAACAGGGCATTAATCTATATCTATATCCTAAACATTTGAAAACAATGATTCAAGTTAGTTGCATCAAATAACTAATAATTCAAAACATTATCCATATAAAGCTATGTGAGGAGTCACAGACATTGAGCTTGGCTAGAAGGTCTTCAAACCTGGAAAGAGCAAGGATCTTGGTCAGCATATATGTGGCACACTTGGCAATGAAAAAAATTGTGACCACAGTGCCCTGTGCAACCACGAACACTACCCCTACAGAATGAATCATTAGATTTCATAGAAATCAGTTTCTTCAGATGGAGAGATAGATCACTTATCATTGGTGGATGTGTTAGGACTTGCAGAGGAGACAAGATTGACTTAAGGTAATGCTAATTTGCTAACACATTCAAGACAACCTTCGAGACCTAGAAGTAAGGTTTCAACCTCTTTGGTTGAAATTGAACAAATTTTTCCCCTGAAGAATGAAATTGTGGACTTGTAGTTGTGATGCATCCTTCAAGAATGACATCAAAGAGTGTGTGAACTGAAATTGACTTGCCAATGGCATGAATAGAGCCAATGGTAGACTCGGTCTTGAGAAGAAACTATGAAACAGTAATTCTCAGTTTCGTGTTACGTAATTCAGAACAAAGCTGGCAAAGCTTTACGTTAACATGCGTTTGAAATTACGTGTGGATCTTGTCCCAGATTTCCAAGAATTCTTGCATACTATCTCGCTACGAAGCATTTCGCAAGAAAATGTTGATTAAAGCCAAACAAGGAGCGATTGAAGGTTACTCCAATGTTTAAAATTCTTTGGAGATGCAAATTGCTTCAGCACCTTCAATTGTTGCGTATTTCTCCGGAATGGCGGGATTTACCAAGAAATGGTGAAGCTTATGAGCATTGATATCAGGTTCTAACTGGTGGCACCATTAGTGGTAACTCTCAGTATCGTGATTTTCAGAGATAGCGGAAAACAAATTTGAGTGTGACGACTAAGCAAGGAAATCAGCGGCGGTGGTGGCGGTGCTACAGTTTGTGAAGGAAAAGTTTGGGAAGAGAGCATAGGATCGTTACCGCTCTTCTGATATCAAGTTAGAATTATGTAAATTGCAGAGATTGAAACTAATTGATTTGAATTTTGTCTATAAGGATTTCACAGTTGTATATACTATGGTGTGATCAATCTATTTATAGATTACTCTAGTAGGTTCTAAGTAGATAACTAAATAATAGCTGTCACTAGTTAGTTACAACTTAATAGAGTTAGTTACAAGCATTTTATATGATATGGGAGGGATTATGCAAGCTCTCATAAGCTTGATCTAGGTTATTCCTTTAATACCGTGGTACAAAATTCCAAACTACATTCTCAATATTTGTAAGTCTATTCTTGCATATATGTTTACCTCAGCCATGCCGACCCAAAACACGGAAACCTCCTTCGATTGTGCCGCATCAACATCCTTTATTTGCTCGTTTAATTGTTCATGTACAGCTATGAAGGAAAAAACAATAAATTTGCATCAATAAGGATACAAAAGAAGAAGAAATTGCAATGCAATCCAGAAGTACACATATGTGCCATATAGGGGTGGTGCAGGGTAAGTTAAGTACCATTATACCTTTTAATCTAGCAACAAGGTGAGTATGAATGTACTTTCCATTGATCTTCCTCGAACCTTCTGGAATACCAGATTTGGCTATTTCTTCTGCTAGCCTGGCCAAAGCCTGCATCCAAAGAAACAATGTTACAGTGCAGATTAAGATTCTCAACAGGTTTTAAGTTTGAATAATTCTATATGCATGCAACAAATAAATCCAAAATGAGGCAAACTAGTGTTATGCTTACTAAATTTAAATATGATGCAAGTTTGCAGAGCTGGCTAATTTATTGGGTAGAGAGTTAAACTCCATTTGATCTTGTTCCCATTATCATCTATTCATCATACTAGTATAAAAACATAGATTTTACAATCAAAAGTTGCTATAGATTAACCTATTTATTTACATATTTATATAATTAACAATCAGGACATTCTACTGTCAAACACTAAATTTTATTTTATTTTAAATTTATAAATTCAATAATACGGAAGCTTTAACAAAATTTTAAGTTAGTATTTTTTCAAATTTCAAATTTACCTTCAAACTGTGTCATAAATTACAAGCAACAATTAGAACACTAAAGGCCAAATTCTATGACAACATGATTTTATGATTTCAATTGCAATAGTTTGGAGCTTTTAACTTTGAACAACAATAGAGTATAGCTATAGCAAGCACACCGAGTGAAGATGGTTGAAACATACACAATAATAAGTTGGTGAATCAATGGTGAAAAGTGATTAACCGGAGAAGATGAAGTTTAAAGAGGAATTGGAGATTATTAGAGAGAGAGTAATTGAGGAGAAAATATCAAAATGGCATTAATTAACTCAAATCATTACAAGAGGTATTTATAGGCAACACTAAAAACAAGGTGGAACCAAAACAGGCCCAAACAGCTAAAAAATTTCAAACTTATGCGCCAAAAATCGATTTACCCAAACAAGGGAGTCGATTTCTTAAACTAAAATTCCAACTTCCAGAAAATCTCAACTGGTGGAAATTGATTTTCCATTTTGGGGAAATCGATTTCCTCTGCAAAAAATCCAAATTTTTAGAAGTGCTTCTCAAATAAGATGTTTCGACGAAACGATTCCAGAATGCATTTGAATTATTATCAACTTCCAATACACCACCTTAATTCAAATGCTCCACATTCTTCATACCTAAACTCCTCACAAGCTTCTTGAACTAAAATTCCAACTTCCAGAAAATCTCAACTGGTGCAAATTGATTTTCCATTTTGGGGAAATCGATTTCCTCTGCAAAAAATCCAGATTTTTAGAAGTGCTTCTCAAATAAGATGTTTCGACGAAACGATTCCAGAATGCATTTGAATTATTATCAACTTCCAATACACCACCTTAATTCAAATGCTCCACATTCTTCATACCTAAACTCCTCACAAGCTTCTTGAACACATCATTTGTCACGCCTTTCGTTAACAAATTCGCAAGTTATTCTTCGCTTCGACGGTATCCTAACTTCAGCTGGTCTGCACACACCAGTTCCCTCAAGTAATGAAATCTCATCTCTATATATTTGCTCCTCCCATGTGCTATGGGATTCCTTGCAAGATTAATGGCTGAAATATTATCAACCAAGAGCGTAACAGCCAGCGTTGTCTATGGCGGATTGCGGAAAATTGCGGCGATCCAAAAATCCACCATAAAAATATGGCGGATGACGGAACGGAAAATTGCAGAAGCATGACGGACAAACAAAAGACATTATTATACTCACAAAAAAACAGTAATAGCACCAAAAAATCAAAAACCAGAAGTCATAAAAATTAGATAACAGAATTATATATGGAGGAAACTAGAATTCATATATAAGGTAAATAAAATAAATGTGGCATGTCTTAAGTACCTCAAAACATTTCATTCATAAAAGACATTTTATAACAGAACTATAAAACATTATTGAATCTCTAATCTTCTTCTATAACTTCAACATAATCATCTTTAAAGTTATTTGGCATGAACATTTGGTGCAAGCTTTAACATTGCACTTATTTCCCATTAGATGGTCTTTGGCTCTTGTTATTCCTCCATTAATCAATTTTGTGAAAAAATACAGCAAGTAGAGTTTATATCTCCGTTAACTAAATCTATATATTTTCATCTAGGGTCATTTCTCTTTGAACCGCCAACCCTAGAGGTTAGAGAGGTTTCCTGACTTTCAGGCATTGTCTAAAACTACAAAAAATAGAAAATAAAATAAAAACAGAGCACTTAAAAAGAGATAAATACAGCACTAAAAAAACAGAGCAGGAGAAAAAAAAAGAAAAACCAACAAAGTAGAACAGAAAAGAGAGTAATGTGGGAAGGAATAAAAATAAAAAGAAATAAAAAGTAAGAGAAAAAAAAAACTGAAGAAGAGTACCTGATAGTTGTGTAAGAAGATAAGAGAAATAGATGGAGAAGAAAATTATGTGGAGAAGCGTGAGAAGAGAATAGAGACTGAGGGAGAAGAAAAGTATGTGGAGAAGAAAAGTATGTGGGGTTTTGATTTTATAAATATTTAATTAGAGTATTTAATGATGGTTATTAGTATTTAACCACAATTATAATTCTTTTGGGCCTGTTAACTGGTCGGGTAAAAAATACCAGACAAGAATTTTAAAATTAAAAAAAAAAAAGCAATTCCCGCCATACCGCCATGCACGTTAAACTCGTGACAGCCCCATGGCACTGCAATGCAAAATCCACAACGCCGTGGCTTTTCCATGGCGCTATGTTGAAAATCCGCAACCGCAATCCGCCATGGCGCCGCCGTGGCCGCAATTTGACAATACTGGTAATAGTTCCTTCAGCAGATTCACAAGCCACACAACCTGACATGCACACATTGACGCAGCAATATGTTTGACCTCACAAGAAGAGAGTGCAATCACAGGTTCCTTTTTAGAGCACCAAGAGATTAGAGTTCCGCCGAACATAAAGACATAACCAGCCGTAGGCTTTCGATCATCCTTATCTCCGCACCAATTGAAATCTAGGTAACCGAGTAACTCGCAATTTCTGCCCGTATCAGCTACGAGAAAGAGAATTTTGCAGCCAAGAGTTCCTTTGATGTATCTTAGGATCCTCTTAACTGCTGCTAAGTGAGACACATTTGGTCTTCATGAATCTACTTGTAATATCGACACTAAACGCAAATCTGACCACGTATTGCACAAGTAACGTAATGATCCAATCAACCTCCTATATTGAGTTGGATTCACATCTTACTCATCATCACTTTTGAACAGCTGCAATCTTGCTTCAGTCGGTGTTATGGTAACATTACAATGCTCCATATCACATCTTTTCAAAGCAGCCCCATTTTTTACTTATGAAACTCTATGCCAAGAAAAATATTTCATTTAGCCAAAGTCCTCATCTCAAATTCTTCCATAAGCTCACTCTTGAACTTAGAAATATTCACTTCATTGTTGCCCGTAATCAATAAGTCGTCCATATATAAGCAAAGTATGATCACATCTTTGCTTGCATCCGTCTTTACATAAACACCATGTTCAGACACACACTTCTTGAAGCCAACCTCAACTAGAAAAGCATTTATGCGTTTGTTCCAAGCTCTAGGTGCTTGTTTCAAACCATAGAGTGCATTCTTCAATTTGTAGACTCTTCCCTCTAGATTCTTCACAACAAAACGAGGGGACTGCTCTACATAGACTTCCTCCTCAAGTGGACCATTCAAAAATGCGGGTATTACATCCATTTGATACATTGATCCGTTATTGCTATTCGCAATGCCAACAATCAGCCGTATAGTTTCTAATCTAGCCACAGGTGCAAACACCTCATCATAGTTTATAACTTCTCTTTGCAAAAATCCTTTCGCAACTAGTCGAGCCTTATGCTTGACAATTTCGCCTTTTGGATTTGCCTTCACTTTATAAACTCATCTCACACCGATTGGGCTTTTTCCGTTCTGGTAAATCGACCATCTCCCAAGTACTATTTTTCTCAATCGATTTCAGCTCCTCCTTCATCGCACACACCCACTTTGAATTGCTTAATGTTTCCTCCGTGCTCACGGACTCAAATTCAGCCATAAGCACAAAGTGAATAAGATCGCCTTTATTGTTGATCTCAGTAGGGCACATATTCAACAAATAAGACCGCCTATTTGCTTAATGTTTCTTTGTGGCTTGATTGATTTTGACAAACCAATCCTTTTTACCCATCATATGCGTTAAACAACCAGAATCCAAGTACCACTCATCACTGTCTTGGGCTCCATCTCGAATAGTTACTATTGCGTTTCGCTCCGAACGCGTTTCTGCAGAATTTTCTGCACTGCAAACGCTGCTGCCCCAGCTTCTGACAGCTATTACTGCTGATGTCCAGCAGCTTTTCAACCCATAATTCTCCTTTGTGATCATGACCAGAAGGATATTATCATCATCCACCTCTTGTCTTGCAACCATAACTTCATCACCTTGATTTTCTTTCGATTTCGCATTACATTCCTTTGCAAAATGCTCAAGGTTTTGACAATTGTAACACTTTTCACCACTTTTGTCAAACTTCTTGGTGTTGTCGCCTTGACCACTACCTTTGGAGCTACTTTCACCTCTTTGTGCCATTGAACCCTTTGAATTTTGTGAATCTTTTCCACCAAAATTTTGGAAATTTGTCTTCCCTTTTGAAGACCATTTTCCTTTCGATCTCTTGTTCTTCTCATTGAACCGTGCTTGCAACGCAATCTCCGCTTTGGCCTTGTCATTTCCTCTTTCATCCATTCTTTGTTCATGAGCCTCTAATGAGCTTTGAAGCTCCTCCTTGCTCATGGTAAGAAGATCATTTGATTCTTCGATTGCAACCACTATGTTGTCGAATGTTGACGTTAAAGAACGCAAGATCTTTGCTACCATATTCTGCACGGACACGGTTTCACCGCAAGACTTCATTTGATTCACCAAACGCGTTATACGCGTAACGTAATCATTGATCGACTCCTTCTCTTCCATTTGCACTAGCTCGAACTGCCTCTTGTGAGTTTGTAACCTCACAACCTTCGCTTTATCAGCCCCTTAATAAGCTTTCTTCAAGATCCCAAGCTTGCTTCGCCGACGCGCAATCACCAACCTTTTCAAAGTTGTCACTATCGACGCAAGAATGTATTAAGAAGAGTGTCTTGTAGTATTTCTTTTTCTCTTCCTTGAATGTAGCTTGTTGAGCAGTTGTAGCTTCTGC